AACAGTTAGAATAAATCTTTTATCGTTTTAAATCCACTACGAATTTATGCTGTATAAATAATGGGAATATCAGTATTGGTTTGTGGAGATTGTTGAATTTTCATTGAGATTATGTACCGTGGCAGTTATTCATCGAAGACAATGGAAGGTATCTCAGATTGGATCTCCGCTCATTGGTTTGGGGGTTAGGCGTTCTCACGAGAATGAAAGTCTTTGGTTTGAGTCGCACACGGCAGATCATGGATACGCACTGCTGAGTTGTTTCATACAGGCCGTCCGGTGCTTCTACATTTTCAATGGTGGTCTAACATCGATCGGTTCATGATCTTAACAATCCGGATATATTGATTCATCAAACTAACAATTTGAATCAGACTTTTTATTAATTATTAATTATTTCATTATAATTCAATATTTTGATGTGTGAAGAATGTGAAATTTTCCAAACAATTGATTTATCAAGTATTCACTATTATTACTTTTACTTGTAGTTGATACAAATAACTGACTTTCAATTAAAATTCATTGAAAACCTAATAATATTGTATATCATTAGTCAATGAGCGTCTTTTGATATTATTAAGAATTAAAATGAGGTTTTTCAGTCCGTTCAGGGAGAGTGTCACTTTCAAACAAACGAATAGCAGAAAGTACTAATCCATAATAATATTATTATTATTATTATAAATCGAACGTGATTAAACTTAGTTTCAAATGTTCTCTTTATAAGAATTACTTTACGAAAAAAGTACACATCTACCAACTTTTACTAGCCTGCGATATCGATTATTAGCAATATTTTTTTCCCATAGGGGTAGTTATTATTTTTTTCATAGTTGAAATCAATAAAACCGTCATAGTTTAAAATAAATCTTTTTTTTTTCATTATAATTCTATTTTAGAATTACTTATATTCTAAAAATATCATACTAGACATTGAGAAACTTGTCTTATATGCTTAGTATTATTATTTGATTTGACTTGATAGTATCATTAATCTAAACTATCAAGATATTTTATTAAGACTTTGGTTGGACCAGACAAATTAATTTTGAGGTAGTTTCAATCTTTTTTTGTCATTATCCGATCGAAAAAAAGTCCCAAAAAGATTTTGTTGTTGACTCATCTGACAGATGGGGTTGAAGAATTTCGATCGGCGGCCTATACTTTATTGAGAGTAATAGGCGTAAGTAATCCGATTTTAAAAATGATCCATTATCTAGACTATTTAAAAACGTTTAATAGTTATGATCTAAGGAATAATATGAATATTTGTAATTTTGTATGAGAAGCTGTATTTTGTAGTGCTGTTAGTAATCACTTGTTGTAAGATTGTGATATGACGGGATTAAACATGTAAAATTACATTCTGATATGCTTGAATGCTATTACGAGTTCACCTTACACGGTAAACGGAACGAAGTTCAAAGATACAATGACGCGATAACCTATTCTAATCTGTTGTCCCTGGCCCTGCTAACTAGATCAAGAATTCTTGATGAGGCATAGAGATCGTATTCTACAAGCACCCAGAAAATACGAGATCACTAAGCACACAAACATGATCTCTTTTGATGTGGAACTTAAAAATGTTGGATTTAAACATGGTCAGAACGGATTTTAAAATGATGATTACCTATTCAGTGCTTTCATTATGCTTCAAAAACCATTTGATACAAACTTATCAGAAAGATCACCTTGAAGCCAAGAATACAAGGATATTAACTGAGTGTATTCTTCGTTATTATTAATACTATTATTATTATTACTAAAAATCATAGAAATGTTCATAATTAGCTATTCCAATGAATAAACAGATCATTTATATTTAAGTTAGACTGACATAACATAGTTTATACGATTTCTATTGCATGTGTTTTTTATGTTAATTTACATTTTTACATTTATATTGGTGTTTCATTCAACAGTCAACGAAAAGAAATATTTAAACTATAATCCATTCTAAACACTAGTTGTAATAACTAAGTTTGCATTTTAGAATAGGGGGTTTGGGATTGTTAAGTTTCTTTACTTAAAATTTACTTAGTATTACAAGCTACTATCACTTCAATAATTGTTAAATAAATAAAAGCACTGCACAATATGTTTGGTATATTAGGGTAATCAGAATTAGTTATTTTATGTTAACTTATTCTTTACAAGTTAGATCTATCAACTATCGTCCTGACTGTAATTACTAAAAACTAAGAGTCTCTATGAGTACGTGAATCTAAAAGAATTAGATATATTGTCCGTACATTATATTTGGGTTGCAACCCGGAACGAATATCTGTCGTCATCCCAAGTTCCTACATCTCACCTCATCACGACGAAAGAGGGAATTTACAAAATAAAACCAAAGGAAACGATAAAACCTGGAATAAAACCAGAATATGAAAAGTTGAGCATAATACTCACTTAAACCTTTAAGAAAGATGAAAGATGCGTCCAAATGAGTTGATGAGATAGATTATGCATGATATCATGTGGTACCCTTATTTTTTGTTCATCATTGCTGAGCAAATTACAAGCAAGATTGTGTATTGATCAACTTAGCTTATTAATTACCTGTTTATTTATTGATAGCATGTGGAATTGAATTAAACTTTAGGAAAACAATAGTAAACATTTGTAAAGCCCGCGCACTGAATCATAAAAAACTGGATCGATAACAAGATTTTCTGGTTTATAAGAAAAGTGATTATTGATTAATTAGTGCAATGTGCGACCATTTTTTGCGGAATTTTATGTTCTATTAGTGCAATGAAAACGGATGTTCGTTGTACTATTTCACTGTACAAAATCTTAAGAAGTATTTACCAGCTTGGAACGTCATATGTTTTATAATGCTCATTCAGTAAAACTTATCTTCATAGGGCTTACCGCTAGATGCAATACAGAACATTAATAGACCTGTAAGTATATGTAATATCGTGGTAATGCCTCTTAAAGCCCATACAATAACAGAAAGTATATATTGTGGATGAAGAGTTCTATTAAATAAATAATATACTTGCAATATCCCAGTGAATAAAAAAAATTAGATTTTCTGACGTTTCGTGACTTAGTATAAGCCACTTCTTCAGAGAATAAATAAAAACATTCTATTTCTAGTTAGACTCTTCAAACATGTTAACCCGTTTCAATGAAAAGGATACCATTTTTACACAGTTCTTGTATTCAGTATTACACAATATATGTTTTTAATAAATAATGCTTATTTAATATGATAAATTTATATAAATCATGTCATACATTTCTTACTTGACTATTATATTTATGTGGATTCATTAAAAGTTTAACAAACTATTAAATACTTCATTTTATTATAAAAGATTATAAAGATCAGAGACCTTGTTTTTAGATTTGCCTTTCAGTGTATATACATTTATATAATTCTGTTGTTCGAAATTTCAAAGATAAATAAATTTCACAGCTTTCCTTTTTTTTTCTTTTCGGTATATACATTTATGTTTGATATCGATTTTGTACATAAGTTGACTTCAATTAAAACAAAAATGTTTAATGCCTAGTAAGGACAAAATAACTGTATATATGATAACTGTTTCATGTACTCCAGTTTATGTATCATAACTGTTTTACAAGTTAAAATAACCTCAACAGCCTTAGGTTCGATTTCAGTTTAACTTTTTTACTGTTCAGTATTGAGAAGTTTCAAATTATAATAATCTTTATTAACTTTATATAAGTTGCAGTAAAGCTTATTCTCAAACTATACACTGATTACTTTGAAGCTAATACGATAGAAATACACTAAACATACCTTCATCTCTATGGGAAATACAAAAAAATTGTCTCGTATCATAGACAACTAATAATGTCTATCATGAATTTTTAATTTAAAAAAAGATGAGAAAAGTAATATAAAAGTATACAGAGTAAATCTAGTACCCTTATCTTGTTATGCATACAGTCAATTAGAAATTATCAAATAAACATTATTAATTATGTCACATTATTATTATTATTTAATATATTGATAATACTAATAGTATACTAGTTTACACCTGAAAATTACATATCTAGACGTTCATTTCATTCAAACAACAATTACAGACATAAAATCAATTTCCATTTATTTATTAATTTATTTGATAGTGAAATTATCTATATGCTGTAATCACAGTTACTTCTCATAAAAATTGGTTCAATGTTTGTTCTAAAAACTGCATCAAGATTATTATATATCTATTTAGAAAATCATTATTGGTATATATATATATATATATATATATATATATATATATATATATATATATATATATATATATATATATATATATATATATATATTTCACTGGTTGAAATCATGAGTCAATTGAAGACAGACCACCATGGAGAACCTGGAAGCACTGGAAGGCTGTATCGTTCTAGTGAGAAGCCGTTACCAGTGGAGTTCAACCAGGTCTGTTGTGAGAAATCAACTCACTGAAGACAATAGTGTACGGTGGCGCAACTTCGTGGATTGGTTGGAGTTAGACAGTATCACCACTGGTTGCCGGCTCAGTGGCCTAGTTTGTTAAGCGCCTGGCGCGAGACTGATAGGCGTCGGGTTCGAATCTCGCGGGATGAGGGATCGTGGATGTTCACTGCTGAGGAGTCCCATACTAGGGCAAAACGGCCGTCCAGTGCTTTCAGGTTTTCCATGGTGGTCTAACTTCAATTGACTCATGATTTCAATCAGTGAAATTTCTAAAATCTCCTCAAAACCCCTTTTGATATCTATATATGTATATATATAATTATTTTGTTTATTAGTTTAAAACAGTTTAACAAATAATTGTTAAGTAAATATAAACAAATATAAACACTAATTCCTTAACTGATTTTTTTAATATCTTTTGAAAAAAACTAATTCTGCAATATTTGCTACTCTCTTTTTTGGTGGATGCATTATCGTTGAAATTATCGAATGAATATGATTTTATGATTATTTGTTGTTGTTATCGAAATTCGTATCGTCAACACCATTTGAGTATATGGTCCTATCAACTATCATAGCTAATTGTGTTGTTTTAGCAATGGAAGTTCATTTGCCAAATAAAGATAAACGTCCATTATCTGAAAAATTAGTAAGTATTTGTTATATTCTTTAATTTTGTTTACGCTTTTAGTTTAAAATAATTATTTTATTGATTTGAAACAGTAAAATTTAAAGTTTTTTATTAATTTCAGAAAGGATCTTGTAAATATGATTGTAGTTTTAAAAGTTGAGATCATGAGTCGATTGAAGCTAGATTACTATGGGAAATTTAGAAGCTAATAAGAGACTGATCAATTGCAGTCCTAAACATCAATGAGAAGATTCAGACAAACAATACAAAGTAGGTTTAAACATCACTCTTATGCACAAGCTGATGGCTATCAGGACTCAGTAGCTAGGTGGATAACACAATGGCGTTTGAAGCGAGCGGTACTTGGTTTGAGTTTCGAAGAGAACGTCAACTCTGCGATGTAGGTACATCCAGCTGACGAAGTTCAAACAGGGCAAAGTGCATGCCATGTATTCCTTTGTTGGACACCATCTATCTTTGCAAACACCAATTGGTTTTAACATTTGTTTGATCATTTTGTTTTAATACAGACTATGATTGATAAACAAAAAGTGCTTATCGTACAAATAGTTTGCTTTAATTTAGTGTATTATTATACTTTCACATTATCAACAATGAAGGGTGTTGCGTTAAATCAAAAAGCCTATGAAATGAGTCTTTCGTGGGTCACTGATCTGACTCCAGTTTGATCAAACGATTCTGCTAACGAAACACACATCCCGACTTGATAAGCATTAGTGAATAACCGAATAAAATAAGCTAAGTAAGTGAATGAATTTCGGACACATATATTTCGTGCATTCGTTGATCCCGACAGTGGGAAAGAGAAGCGAAGTGTAGAAGCTATGTGTGCCAGCTCCATTTTATCCGTCGACTCAGTATTTCTAGTGAGACAAATAGGAGCGAAATACATATGATGAACAGGTTAAGCGACGAACACACACGGTCATATGGAAACAGCCAAGAATAGCAAGAGAGTAATTGATAAGTTTAAAATGTGACTCAAGAAGAATGAATAAAGTGGTCTATTCGGAAGCTTGAATAATTTGTTTGGGCTTGACATAGTACTAGATGCTACAAATCAGACTAATACCATGTACTAACTCATTTATTTATTGATCATTAAACCCAGTGCATTGAAACCTGGAAATTCTCCTTTGTTTAAGATCTTTCAATTGAAAGGTTTAGGTAACATGTGTTCAAAACAATTAAGAATGATAAATAATACATTCATTCTATGGCAAAACTAAAGTATGGGAGCGAAATCAGGTGGTTCTTTAAAGCACTTCGATAAATCTTTCCCGTTAATAACCAGTCAGAAAGCAAGTAACTGAAATCAGGTCATAAATAATATTATGCCTGACGTATGATTTTCCTGAAGGTTAACTTAAGGTTCTTGTGATCTGAAATTGACAAAACTCTGATAAAAAGGTTCATCTATATGGCTTAAAAGTTTACTACCTACTTCTTCTCCTCTAATATTTCTCCTGATATAAGCTTATCTACTGATTTTTATGATTCTGCCCAGTTAACTCATAAAAGGCATTGACTTTATCAATGTTTCTGAACACATGTTTCTGTAATGAATTACTGTGAATTCGTTTACATCATTATTATCAGTTACACTGGTTGTTAGTGTTTCACATTAGGCAATACATTATTAAAAGAATCATTTGTCTGTGGATAACGTTCTAATCTATAAAAATGAAATTAGATTTTCAAGACCTTTTGATATGCATAAAGTCAGGAGCGAAATATAACATTAACGTATTCGTTTAAACATTCTAGAAATCATTTTTTCTTATCATAATTGCACAAAGTAGATTCCAGTTCGTTTTATTGCCATCATATTTTCATCGAAATTAGAAAGTATACTATCGAAATTCAACATACCATCTAAACATCGAGCCGTAATCTAAAAATGCATGTATTAATTTGATTAGTTCGTCTCTATTTAATCTTATCATTTTTAGTACCCAACTTGTAAGTAAAACTAAAACTATCTTTTTAAATCAATTTAAAAGAAGCTTATTATTTAGTTCGATCAATTAATTTGCGAGAACAAACCAGTATGTTCTCGTGCTATCATTACATTTCAGTCAGAATTAGAAAATGTGGGACATACTGCCACGATTTTCATTTGAACTATATGCCACGATTTAAAGAATCTATTCTCAATAGTGACTGCATTTCTTTGTTCTTTAACATCTTTTAAATCTATGAATTCACATTATTTTTTTATGATATTATTACTGAAACCTCTTTTATTTCTGTCACTTTTCTAAATGTGTTTTCGATGTCCATTTCTTCAATGTGATTGTTCAAGTGTACTGCAGTTTGTTGTTGATTTTCATTTCTTAAACAATTAGTCCCCATGATAACTTTCGATAATGCACTGAGAAGACAAAGTTTATTAGAATTATGTGATACATTTCGTCTTCTCATTGCATTGTCGAGATTTTCATTTCGTTAATATCATCTCATTGTTATTGGTCTAAAGTGAGGTAACGAGAATCGAGAAAATACTTTCATATTGTTTATCATTGTTTATGATTGATAGTGATTGTTACAATAAGAATAATAACCATTGAAACAATCTTTAAAGAATCTATCATCACTGACCAATGTTTTTATTTATTATATATATAAATGCCAAATGACGTTAGCAGTCTACACAATGATTTATATATATAAACTCTTGCTAAACAATCTATGCTTGTTGCTACAGTTTGAAATAGTGAATTTATTCATTTTCTACGCAATCAAAATAAAAATATTATTATTCTTCATTGATTATGGTTAATTTAATGATAATATGAAGCTTATCAATTTCAATATATTTGTATTGGTGATAATTATCGACTAAACTGCTTTTACAGCAAAGAAATGACAGTTATGTTTATGGTTGAATAACATTAGGAAAATAAAATTCAATTGTATGAACAAGAACTCCGTAAATTAACATCACTAGTAACTGACAATAGCAGTGTACAACTATGTATAGTTTTGACATTGATTGAAGCTGAATATTTGAATGACTGTTATAAATTAAATAGTTGTAAATTCAAGAGATTCACAACAAAACCCAAAATTCTCGGATTCGATTCCTAGCTGTCTCAAGGATACACACAAAGTAAAGTCACATATAATAACATAATTGTGTAGTTTTTCCCAGTTTTCAGTGATTATTTAGCTGAAATTCATCCATGATGTTGAACAGTGTGACACAAAAATGTTACTATAATAATAAAATGGAATCAAATAAAACTGAGGAATAGAACCATTCTCATTTTAAAATCTAGACAATTGATTTCATATCCTATACCTTGTCACAAATGAACATCTAATAGAAGTTTGTAACTAGTTTACAACTTTTCAAGATTTGACAAATCTTCAAATGATATCAGTTTCTAAAAATGATGTTTACGTTTGCCATCACGTTAGCTTTACCAAACTACATCGTATATCCAACAATTCAAATAATTTGTAGATTAATAAATAAAATTACGTATCTCATTTAAGTAAACTGGAAAAAATGTCCATTTTAATGTGTATGCTCAATATATTCACTGAATTCCATGATAGGTATTACGTAATAATTCATACTTAGAATACATATATAAACTACCAAACTATCAAGAATTAAAATAATAATTGATCAAATATAAATATCAGTATTGAAAATTATGGCCTTGATGTTGGAATTTTCAATACAAATGTCAAGACAGTTCTACTGTATGGGGTGGAAACCTGAAGAACTACGAAATCCAACATCCAGAAGATACAAGTGTTTATTAACAGTTGTCTACGCAAAATACTTTGGATCCGTTGACCAGACACTATCAACAACAACCTACTATGGGAGAAAACAAACCAAATCACAGCGGAGAAAGAAACCAGGAAGAAGCGCTAGAAGTGGATAGGACACACATTGAGGAAAGCACCCAACTGCGTGACAAGACAAGCTCTCACATGGAATCCTGAAGGCCAAAGGAAAAGAGGAAGACCAAAGAACACATTACGCCGAGAAATGGAGACAGACTTGAGAAAAATGAACAAAAAATTGGATAGAACTGGAAGGGAAGACGCAGGACAGAGTGAGGTGGAGAATGCTGGTCGGCAGCCTATGCTCCATTAGGAGTAACAGGCGTAAATAAGTAACCATCAGTAGTCACTTAAGTCACATAAACCTTCATACATCCAAATTAGCATATATAAAAGATTGATATTAAACATGATATCACCGCAAATCTATAAAGAAATGATTGATAGTTTCATTTTCACTCATCTACTAATTATCTCTTCAGTTAAAGTTATTATGAATGATAAAATGAAGTGTTTAGTTGAAAAATAAAAACAAAACACCAACCAACCAATTTAGCTTAAAATCATCATTCAATTAAATATGTTGTCCATAAAAATAAACAATTTAATTTTTAATTAATTCAAATGTCCAAACGTGTACATGTCTTCAAATCCTGTAGGCATATTATCATTATTATTAAATATGCAAAAGATGATATTTGTGAAATGTTGTTTCTTTCATAAAAAAAGATAACATGGATTATAGAAAAAAAGAACTTTTTATGATAAATTGTAATTTTATATAATCTAGAAAAAAGACATTCCATGATTTTCATTCTATCAGTGTAACATTCTATTCTTTTCTAACGTTACCATGTCAATCATTTGGATGTTTATGATTCAGGAAATGTAAATTTGACATATACAACGAGATGTTTGTATGTGTGTTGTTGTTGATTTGTGTTTATTTCAAAATAAAAATTTAACTTACTAAAGAAAATTCACTTTTTTCATTTTGACTAGATTTATTCTTGATCATATCTTTGAAAAAAGTAAGGAAAATAAGGAAACTTTTGTTAGATTTGTTGTTATATTCCATGAAGTAGATATCTTCATCAAGTGAAAGATTAGAGGAAAAATAACGACAAGAATACGATATCAGACATCAGTATAAAGTTGACATGAATATACAATGTTAATTGTCCATTATTTCTGAAGGGCTGAATATTGACAAATTGATTGACATGAACTAAAATGTTACATTTATTTTAACTGAATATAATGATTGTTAATTTTATTCTTCTTAAATATCTATATCATAATAAGCAAAGATGGATGGTGGCTAGTAGTGGAATCCACGATGCGCGTTCTATATGGGACTTGTCAATTGAATGCCCCAAATAGGACGAAACGCGCGTCGTGGATTCCACTGCTAGCCACCTTCTATCTTTGCTTATAATGTTTGCGATTTAAAGCGATATTGAAGCAATCCAAACAGGATGTACATATGCCATTAGGAGACTGATAAACTGAAGTCCTAAACATCAATGTGAAGCATCAAACAATCAATACAAAAACGAATAATCTACATAATTATTTATAATGCTTAAATATATTTATATTCTTGTTTTTTGTTTGATTTTATACAATATAATAGGCTCGTTTTAATGATTCTATTTACATCGGAAATTAAGATGAGTAAACATTCTAGTTAGATAAAGCTTGTATAATTCAGTAAGATAGATATTTCATACAATCAGAATAGCAGTGTCATAAAGTTTGTCTCTGAAACGTACAACAATAATTACAACTTATTGCGATACAGATGTTGAATTGTCTGAGCTGGATGGTTTACTTGTGGAGGAATTATTGTGATTACTATATATTCAGCACAGATATAAATTAGGAGTGATCTATCAGAATTTTCTTATTATCAAGTTTGGAAACAACCAATAAACTCGGATATTAACAGATTCATCAGTTAGTTACATGTGAGAAAATTTTAATAGCTTAAGTATATTTCAGGTTTATACTTGCAATTTAATTTACAAGATGAAGGTACTTTTTTGGATGGAACATTTATTTAAGAAGAAGAAAGGCTATGAAACTCTTCCTTGAAACTCTTATTCTTCCCAAATATATCAGCTCTGATTGATTCATCAGCTGATCAGTTTATATCAATGAAAACCAACTGATAAACTCTAATTTCTCAATTCTTACATTGCACTTCCTAATTAATTAGAAATCGTTATGCTTACTGTTTACTTCAAATGAACTGTTTGTGCTTAGTTGGAATCAACTGATAGAATGTCCATCATTAACTTATGTCTAAGGCTTGCTAATGTACATTCCATTTATAAAAATGTGTTGTTTTTTAGAAGCGTTCAAATTTACACCCTTCAGTGTTCTAATCAGAAAAATTGACACTAAGTTATTCAAACTGCAATCGTATTTATTAATTCTGTACTTATGATTGTTTTAATTGTTAATTTTTAAAACTTTCTATCTGTAGGAAATCACTGAAAACTACTTTTTGGGAATTTTCACCTGTGAAGCTTTCTTGAAAATTATTGCATTAGGATTTATTCTACACAATGGATCTTATTTAAGAAATATATGGAATATTTTAGATTTCGTTGTTGTAGTCACTGGGTAAGTATTGAAATATATTTTTGTTCCTCTAATTTGTTATCAAACATTTACAGATTGTGTTTTTGATTTATTTCTTTAATATAAATTAATTTTTCAACATTTAAAGTCAATATTATTTATATACTTCATGAGTTATGTATTTCAAGTATCACTTATAGACAACAAGTAATACACTTCATAGAGTTCAGTAAACATTTGATTCAACATGATTTTTGCTGTTCGGTTTAGAATATATGTTTCTTATATTAAATATCCCAAAAGAAACTGAATGGAAATATGAAAGAATTTTGGAACGTATGTAGAAATATTGTTTTTTTTAAAAAAAGGCATGGCAGTTTCTGGAATAGTGTCTTAATATTACATACAGTGTGCAACTGATTCAGGTGTATCCAGCTGATGGGTCTTAAAAAGGATGAAACGTCCGTATAGGATTCCACTGTTAGCCACCAGCCATCTCTGCTTATGTATAATTTTATTCATTATAATTTTGCTGGTAATTTATTGCTCTTAAAGACAGAGACCGATTACATGAGTATAGGAGATGTATTCATTCTTTTTAAGATTTTAGATAAGTTTCACTTCTAAGTAGTGGGTAATGCCAAATTACCCCTGGGGGGGGTTCATTGGTCACTCATAACTATCTAACGTCAAAAACACTAAATAATTTGTATTTTCTTGCAAATACCTTATTAACAAAAATGCTAATGAGATTATATCATTAAGAATATTGATAAAGACTAATTTATCACAAAATTGTTCATTCCGATGTCTGTTTACAAACAGTGGAAACGTGTAGAGTTTGTGATTTTGTTCACTGGTACATCAAAAATTTGAAATATGTGATTTAGTTTATTAATGTAAGATTGATGTATGTACTTTTGACTGTTTAAGACACTGATGTAGCCATTTTAAGCATAAGAATAAATGGGATATAAGAATGGAATTTATTACAGTGTAATTATGATATTGAAGCATAGAATCTGCTAGCCTCAGAACTGTTTTTGCTTTATAGTTGGTTGTATGTATTGCCGTAAAGGTTCACCGTTAGATAAAACAAATACTCATTTTTTTATTTCAATACATTTTCATGATTATATCTGTTACTAATAGATAATATTGATTACCACAGTTACCACAAATATACTAAGCTCCTCATTTAAATATAATAACGTCAAAAAAGCATGATTCTTAGACCTGAATTTCTTAATCCCGTAATGCTTTGATATTATATTTTTGTTACCTATTCAACTATACTTCATATTATTTCACCAAATGGTGTTCTAAGTATTAAAATTACCTATTGAAACAGAAATTTCTTTTTGGTAGAATTTTGTTTTCTGAGCTGGATGGTTTAATCGTGGAGCTTTCATCGTTTATTTGAACGACATCATCACCAAAGAAGAATGATGAAAGCCCCACGACCAAACCATCTAGCTCAGAGAACAAAACTCTACTAAAATTATCCACTTGAGCTAAAAATCTCCACTATCTCAGAAATTTTTTTGCAAGTACTTAGAAAATATTATAGAACTAGTTGTACTTTTAAAAACACCGTATTTTGTAAATAAAACTTTTAAAGGAACTTCAACTGTTGATCGAAATACAGTCATTATGATTGATTCAGGTCAAATTCTTTTCAGGGTAATAACTGATTGTTAGTTACTTTTCTGATAGATTAATTGACTGAAAATGTAAATGCAATTTAAAATTTTATATAGAAGTGTTTGATAGTCGAGATCATGAGTCAATTGAAGATGAAATACCATGGAGGAGTTAGCTACAATAGAATGAAACACTATCCAGTACTTCCAGGTTTAATTGAATCATGATCTGAACTATTGAAATTACTACAATCTCCATAAAACCCGTTCTGATAATAAAAGTTTTTATCAGAATGGGCTTTGTGGAGAGTTTTAGAAATTTCACTTAAGCACTCGCGCGCAAAGCCAGTAGGTCCTGGGTTCGAGCCCCGCGTGGTGCGGGATCGTGGATGCGCACTGCTGAGGAGTCCCATACCAGGACGAAACGGCCGTCCAGTGCTTCCAGGTCTTCAATGGTGGTCTAGGTTAAACTGACTCATGATTTCAACCTGTGAAAAGTTTTTGATTTGATTCCATTTGTAATAGTTGTTGAATTTTATTGTTTTTTTACTTTGTATTTCGAATGTTTATAGTATTGTCCTTCGTTACTGTTTAAATTATGAGACAGTGAATTAACTATATGAATAAATAGAAAAGCAAATCATGAAATCATTGAATTTAATAATAATTTTCTTCTCATTATTGAATGAATTCTAAATGGATTTTCAAAATATCTTAATATGAGTCAACTCACTGTGTTTACCAATTTAAATGTGTATGTGGTCACATATACATAGGGAGGAGCAATCGTGATCTCAAAATTAGGGTGTGTGAACATGTACCAAAATGGATGCAGAAACAAATGCAATCAAGTGACTCAATAAGAGCAGAGGATAAACATCCATCATCCTCTATTGCTAAACATATCATTGAAAAAGGCCATAGGATTGATCTGAACTCGGCTTTTGTGGTTTTGTATAAAAGTGTAAAAGGGCGTATACTAAGTCATTATATGTGAAAATTATATTTGAAATATTCTCAGCGATGATTGGTTTAACACAGTATAATCCTGATTGTTAAAAAGCTATATAGTTCTTTTATAATTTTGATTTTGATTATTACCCTGAAGAAGTCCAGACAAGTTAGCTGGACGAAACGTTGGAATTAGTTATATTTCAATCGCTGAGATTATTTCAAATATAATTTTCACATATAATGATTTCTCTATACTCGGCGCTCAATTACTGTCAAACTATTCGTTTTAGTCTTGACGAATAAGCGTATACTAAGGTTTATTGAAGCCTTAGCCACACGAAAATTCAAACCCGCTTTGTGTGTTCAAAAACAGTCTGTTCTTACCTTAAACCTACCCTGGTAATATTGACTTATTATCCAGAGTGATCAGGGTTTTGAATTGTGTTCACATTATTATGATTATTATTATCTCCTCTTACCCTATTTCCAGTATAGTTGACTTTTTATAGATAAATGGTCTTAACGAGTATATGTGTGATCTGATTGTTCAAAATGTATTGCCCTAATATATTACATAATTCTGATAATCTTTGTCTTCTTATTACATAATCCAAATTGAGAATCACATAAAAGTGGACTAAATATCACTAGATAAAAATTATGATCTATCTAAGAAACAAATCAAGTTACAAATTTAATCTATTCAATACAACACAAAGTTGATCATAAATTTACAATGAAACTATGATTTCATTTATCTATAATAAGATCCATTCAGAATTTTAGGATCATTATTATTTATGTTGAACAGTATAGTAATAACTTCTCTAATTCTTTATCAAAAAAAATAAAATAAAAAACTAAAATTTATTTAAAATAAATAATGAAAATTGATCATTTTTAATATAAAATTTAAAACATAATTTGATTTTGTTACGTAATCAGCATTTGTAATAAATCAGTTTCCTGTTAAATAATCATTTCTAGTTTTTTTTGCATAATTTTTATTATTTACATTGAAATATTGAAGAAAAAAATAAAATATTCTTCATGATTAATGATTAGAAATTAATAAGATCATTTACAGATCATTGTGAAATTACAGATTATCAGTATAGGGGTTGTGGAGATTGTTAAGTTTTGATCGAGATCATGGACCGATTGATGTTAGACCACTGTTGAAAACCTGGAAGCATTGGATGGCCGTTTCGTCCTATTGTGGGACTCCTCAGCATCGCGCACAAACGCTTAACTTCTAGGCCACTGAGCTGGTATCCAGTGATGTTAATGTCTAACATCAACCAGTTCACGAAGTCGCGCAACTATCTTCCATTGTACTGAGGCAAACACCTGTTTCAACTCCACACGGATTAGCTCTACTGGTCACGGTTTCTCACCAGAACTCCGAGAATTTCCTCACGAAGCCAGTCACTAGTGGATTGGTTGAGGTTAGACATCAACGCCATGATATGCCGGCTCGGTGGTCCAGTAGGTCAAGCGTTCGCGCGCGATCCCGCGGGGTGCGAGATCGTGGATGCGCACTGCTGAGGAGTCCCATACTAGGACGAAACGGCCGTCCAGTGCTTCCAGGTTTCCAACGGTGGTCTAACATCAATTAATTCATGATCTCAACCCGTTCTGATAATAAAAGTTTTTGATCAGAATGTGTTTTGTGGAGAGTTTCAGAAATTTCACTTAAGCGCTCGTGCGCGAAGCCAGTAGGCCCTAGGTTCGAGTCCCGCTTGCGGTATCCTGGATGCGCGCTACTGAGTGGTCCCACAGTAGGATGAAACGGCCGTCCAGTGCTTCAAGGTTTTTCATGGTGGTCTAACATCAATCGGTTTATGATCTCAATCAAATATACAGATTAGTCGCTTTTTGTTTCAATTGCATGAAGTCAAATTTTACTAATTGAATCTAGACCATCATGGAAAACATGAAGGCATTGAACGGTCGTTTCGTTCTAGTATGAGACTCTTCAGTAGTGCATATCGACAATTCCGTCTTGCAAGATTCTAACTTAGAATCTATCAGTCTCTCGAGAAAGAATGAATTCGAAGTAAATCCAACGTTTTTCATGAGATTTTACAAGTATATATCTTTTTTCTTTAATGTCTCAGATCAACTTGGCGCCAAAATACCGTGAGACTATTCAATCAAATTTAGACGGAAGTTTTAATAAATTGAAGGTTTATATTTGTCCGTTTTTTAAAAGAAAGAACAGTACAGTCAACATGTAGTGAACAAAAACACCAATGGGGACGATCGATTGTAGTTGACACGAAATTACAAAGCATCGCAATAAAATCTGAGAACTATATAGTAAATCGTTAATTTGCAAAATATCAATACATTATATAAAACTTGACTGTTCCTGTTGCAAACATCAATCCATTGTCCCAGTTTTGTTCATGCGTTTTCATACCAATTGCGTTCCGTTTCCGT